ATATCAGTATTAGACTGATACAATGACACAACTGCACAACTTGTAACAATGTCTTAATTACCTAATCCCTTTATACGGTAAAACAACGACTTTATGGGGAGATTTTTTTTTTTCAAATTGTAGAACAACAAACTAACTGAAACCATTTTGGGGAACATTCGAGTTATCAGTGATTTTTTATAAAAAAATATAAATTCTTAGTGTTGAGGCAGCATTTCAAACGCCAAAACACTCGTCGAATATGACGTCATCCGCTCCAATAAGCAATAATGATACAGCAAATTAGTAAATATTGTTACCTTTGTCAGATCGTCCTTGCCATTGTTGATTTCCAAGATTGTCTTTGAATACCTGGTTTTATTAATTATGAAATTATTGTAGTTGTTTAATTGTTAGTACCCTTTCAGTTATACTACTCTAGTTTTCTTAGTAATCAGAAAGGATCTATGTCCTGACGTCATCTAAGTTTTAAGAAGTCACGTCAGACAGTTTGGTAATGTCGCAATGTCTAAGCTATTTTCGGGTTCGAAAAAAGGACGGTTCTAGAACCGTTCAAAACAATCGCACAGTTCACCAATCAACAAAATGACAACGGCTCAGCTATCACAAATTTCAATAATAAACTGTGCGATTGTTTTGAACCGTTCTAGAACCGTCCTTTTTTCGAACCCGAAAATAGCTCTAATGTCAACCCATCAAAAAATTCGTTCTAGAACAGTTTCGGAACCACTCTGTATTCGATTTTCGGTTTCTACCTTGTTTCTACGCAAAAATTTTAGGTTTTGCGCAGAATCCTGACGGTAATATTACGGTTTCCTGCCGAGTTGGAACAAAGCCATACTGTAAGCCTTAACTTCACAGTTTTGTGTTTGGGCAATGTAGTGACGTCACAAGGGTATCGGCGCTTGACAATGATAGTTTATAATCCTTGGTTTGTGTCAATTGTTCGTCGGCTGTCTTTTTCCGTCCCTCTTTTCTTTTCTCTCGTGTAACGAAATTTGCCAAAACGTGACGCGTCTTCTATATCACTCATTGATCACTCTCCATTCTTATTTCTTTTCCAAATATCAGACCGCCGCCTAAGAAATTCTGAGGAAATTGCAGTTCATAAAGCACAGGACACAAATATATAAATAACGAAAATAATCACAAAACACAATGATAATAGTACAGTCGGAATCATTGCAATTGGCACACACTCTTTAAAATCCCCCGTATTAAGTCAAAATTCTAACCAATAAATCTATTTAGTGCAGCATTTTGCTATTACTGTGTGTCAGATTTGACACATTACGAGGGATATTTACATAGTGTGTGCCAATTGCAATGATTTCCACTGTACGTATAACAAAAGGGAGGCACCGGCGCTTAACAATAAAAGGCAATCATCCTCTTTGCGCTTATAATCCTTGATTTGTGGTAATCAATAGCTGTTTTTCTTCGTGTCTAATATATTTTTGATAATATCATACTTACATAATGACGGTTCACAGATATAACAAAAAAAATCACAGAAAATATCAGACCGCCGCCTAAGAAGTTCACTTCAAAAACAATCACGCACTCCCGACATTAACATATAAAACTACCTACTGTGGTAATAACGAGCGAAAGACGATAGTGATTCAAGGAAAAGTCCAAACTTAATGATAACAAACCTTTATTATTATTACATACTTTTATATATATAATATATTAAAGGTACAAAAGCAAGACTGGCCAAAAGCGTAGTGTGGTAAATTCTGGAAACTGACAATCAGTCGACCCTGTCGAAGTTGCTGGTCAAACTAACCTCACCGGCAGGGTTGTTCATTATTTTTTGAATTGTACAAAAATCCGTTGAACATCAACCAACAGTGCCGCCACATTAGGCTATATTAGACAACGTTTTACAGTCAGAGCCAAGGTGTCAGAACCATTGTGAACGATTTCTATTGATCGGTACAGGGGTGCGATTTTCGAGACCATACAAGTACATTTCGTACACGAAATTTGTCTGCTCCCCATTTAATTTACATTGCTGTCAGTCAAATTTCGTGTACGAAATGTACTCGAATGGTTTCGAAAATCGCACCCCAGAAGTCTACATCATAAGTTGTATTCCTTTCACACCTAGGAGGAACTGCGGAACAGCTCCGGGGCGTTACGCGCTTATTCCTTTCGAAAAGTGTTTGTTGAAACTGAAGTGCTCAAGCCCGAACTAAACCATTTAAATGCACGGAAGCCAGCGCATCTGTTCCTCTCAAATCGGGGTCGACTAACACCGGAGCGAGTAGCTCTAGTGTTCTAAATTCTTGAAAGGAATACAGCTATACAGGCACTATTCCAGCTAGGATTTCACACACGGGATAGCCTATCCTCATATGGCTTGTGTAGATCAAATCTCAAGCCCCCCACCACGCCAAAGAACCAGTGATGACATAAGCAGCGTTTCGTTTCTCGCCTTGACGTAGGTTGTTTTCACCACAGGTTATAATTCCGCTGGCTTTTGCTCATATGGATACTTGGTTCTAGTACATTAATTAATATTCTAAAACGTTTGCATCTTCCTCTTTGTTTATAATGTTAATCAAAATGAAATATTTTTCTTCATAAATGCACTATATTGTAAACTACGACTACGACCGCTGGCACAAACAGCTAACGACACCATTGATGACGTCGGCAACGGTGCAACAACATATGACCTTGATTCCAAAAATAGAGGCCGATGAACAATCATGTAGTAGGTAGTGTAATAAGCTTGCCATTCCAGTATGTTTAAGTTGTATATACAGGGTGTCCCACGACGTTTCTCCCAGGCGGCCGATCCTCGGGCCAGGGAGTAGAGCTCCCCGAGAGAAAAAATGTTTCGTCTTTATCATTCTTGTTTTCTTTTCGATAACGTTGACAAGGACAAAACACTCGTTCTATCGGGGAGCTCTACTCCCTGGCCCGAGGATCCGGCCACAGGTGATAACTTCGGAACGCGTCATCCAATATAATTGAAATTTTGAGGATCTGGGTAACTTTTTGTGCCGCTTCTACCATTGTCATCCAATTTTACCATGTTTGCTTCAATTTCGGTCAAGTGACGTCAACTTTCGAATCTTAAATGTAACTCATGGTATATTATGGTATTTTTCGTTAGAAAATTAAATTACAAAATCGGCTATGCCATATATGTTGAGGCTTTGTTAAAGGATATGACAGAAAATTATACAGTGGAACATACGATGATGCGTTCCAAAATGATCATTTGGGAGGAACCTCGTGGGACACCCTGTATAACTGCCATATTCCTGTCAGATAAAAAGTGGAATCTTCCATTTGTGTTTGAAACTGTACCAAAAATGACATTTCATATGGAATTGACCTTTTGTTTGGACGCCATATTGCGGTGCGCGAACATAGTTGCCAACAGTAGAATAAAAAAATACTAGCGTTCTGTCAACTTTAAAATCCAAAGTTAGTGAATAAATTACATTTAAAATTTAAATTTGCCGCCTATTACGAAAGTTTTTAGAAAGAAAAGCCATCAATTTTAGCTTGTATTGGGCAGAATAGAAATAATAAAATATCTAGTTGACAGCCCGCTAGTAATTTTTGGTTTTCTTGTTTTGGCAACTATGTTCGCGCACCGCAATATGGCGTCGAAACAAAAGGTCAATTGGATAAGACTTTTATTTGGCAAACAATGATAATAGCGTGTTCATTTGTATACTGCTAGCAGCTCCTAGCAGATTTTCCTGATTTTTCGAACAGGTAGAGCAAGTACAAATGAACACCCTTATATAATTACAAAATCAAAGAAACACCTCAATAATTACCTACCTATATATCTTCTGCGGAATAGTTGAAGATTTTTCTTTGGGCTTCAAATTCCGTCCACTCCAAAGTTACTTGATTTGATTTGGCATATCAACATAAACACATATTTGAATCTTTTGCACGTTTTTTCCAACCAAAGATATCGGCAGTAAGGTAGAACTATCAGCCTTCTTCTTGCACATTTCTCTCTCAATTTCCAACTGATATTCTCCATGAGAAAGATGAAATTCTCAACTTCACTGAAGCTGTTCTATGGAAATATGTCTATCTCAAGCGTCTTAGCCTAGTAGTAGATACATCGAGGGTTCTAAGATTTGCAAATCAAATAGCCCTGTCAGAATTGGATTCGCTTCATCATTATCATCAAACCTGAAGCTATTCCTATGTTATCTTCTCTGCTGGGTTTGTATATCCTACTCATTAAGTTTATGTTTTGAAACTCCAATTTTGGAGTTTTGATACGCCTAATATACCACTACGATTTCGTAAAAATTGTAAGTTTGATATTATGATTTCGGCAATTTTGGTATACCTACAATTCTCCTGATTGCAAATCATTTCGGACAATGGAAAAGTTGACTATTGACCACATAAAAAGTCCATGAACAAAGCATTTATTTGCCCCTTTCAGAGGTGAACAACTTAAGTTAATGCACGAGGAGTGGTTACCCCCGCTAAACAATCATTATCATCAAAATACAAATCACTCCATCAGCTCATCCTGTTGCGAAATAATATTTGAACAAAACTAAACATTACGCACCATTATCGCGAAAATCGCAATTAGCCAATTACCATAGAAAATCGAATTTTTGTTTGTAAAAAAGCAAATGAACATCTGTTTCGACAAGGTATCTACTTTATCGTTCGTTTATTTTGACGTCGGGTGATGGAGTGTGAGCTAATCCGAAATGGGAAAATGATGTATGCGGATGGAGTGCATTTGGGACTAATTTTTTTCCACTGGCGAAATTATTTATGTTTAGGTGATTAGCGCATAAATGAACAATTATTATCATTTAATATATTTTCATTTACCTAATACAAAATCTATGGATAGATTATTCAAAACAAACACTATCCAATAAGTGCTTATAGTTAATAGGTTATACTTATTATAATGTGTTTTTGTCACAACATTTTTCATTAATCGAGTGGTTTTTTATTTATAGAGTCCATATTATTTTCAGTTACTGGTTTCGGGACAGCCAACGACAAACAGCGGCTCGTCACCAGCCTCAGGCGGTGGTTCGCTGAGTCCCGGAGGCTCGGCAGGACTTCCTGGAGCACTATCGCCCGGCGGTACTTCATCCACGGGACCGGCCCAATGTTGTGATAACGGCAGGCCGTTAGTGACCGATCCGGTGACCGGCCAGAGTGTATGTTCGTGTCAGTACGATTCGGCCAGGCTAGCGGCGTTACAGTATCCTAGAAGTGTTGGGATGTACGGTACGCCTTATCCTAGTACAGACCAGAATCCTTATCCGAGTATAGGGGTTGAGAGTTCGGCGTTTTATTCACCTTTGGTAAGTACAACTCTATTTATACCTACTTGGTTAATTTGATACAGCAAATCCTTTTGCCAAACAATGGATTTTCGGGTTCCACGTCTTTTGTAAATTTTGTTACCCATAAGCGCAGGGCGCAGGTAAGAGATTTTGGGAAAGCCAAATAGGTTATTTTGTATTTTCTCTTTGCGCAGAACGTTATTGGAGTTTTTTCTACCTTTCTCTAGAGTGGTACCTGGGCACTATCCATTACTATAACTAACCATTCGGGTATAAGTTATAAGGAAGCGTGCTGGGCCCATAACCTGTTAAATAATTTGGGACGATTAATTAAAATACTTCTGATAATGGAGGACTCAAGCAGAAGAGAACAAAATGTTCCTACATTATATCTAACACTATCATCTGCTCAAAATATTCCTCAAACACATATTATTCATAACCTCATGATAATCTTCAGAATGGTTAGATATAGAGGGCACAGCACCTTCTAAAAACCCATTCTCACCACGGATATGGGTGATGATAAGTCTTTTTCCCTGTGAAGATCACAGTACCTTTTATTTTATTTTTTTTAAGTAGTCTCCTTCAACAGACTACTTCATCGCTCTCAATCAATATAGATTTTTTTCCGTGTATTTCAAGATTAAAACCCAACTCTTTCAAAGTATTCCAGAGCTTGCTCCAACTTATATTTCGTATATTGTCATCTTGCTTTATGCCTGCCCGAATTTTCTCCAAGGTCGGGTTTTCATTTGCAAAATGAATAAATGTACTTTTTTTCGAATTGCATTCAAAATCATCAAGGTACATTTTCTGCATGATGATTTTAAGGGTTCCCTGTAGTTGTTCGAGAATTATTCCGGACATTGCTAATTATAGAAACAAATACAGAGCAAGGTGGTAGAGTGGAAACAGCCCATGCAATCTGTTCTCAGCATAATGTTGAAATGACTGGGTGCACGCCAATGAACTACCTATAATAAATACATTCTGACACATTTATGTCTCCTTTTGATTAAAAAACAGAGTATAGTTCCCTTTTCCAAAATCCCTCAAAAACCGCAAGAAACGAGAAGATTTAAAATGTCTAATCTAATATTAAAAAAACTATAACCTTTTAAAAAGAATAGGTATAATGTGTCGCAAAACCTTTTAACTCCAGCTCGTGTTAAATGCCAACCCACCTAAGCTATTAAATTTCTCTTATATAAAAATGGCGCACTCGACTTGGGTTATGCTACACGATTACCAACAATAATTTGTAAATGTTTATAAACTTGTAAATCATGTTGGCTGTCGTTTAATTTCAGAAAACAACGCTCCGTTATTAATTTTGTCGTTTTTGTTGTTGGCAGGACTTTTTTTTTCCTTGTAAATTATTGTTTATTTAAATTCGTGATCGTGATTAATGAATTGGTATTTTTCGAACGTGGGAGATTGGGATCTATAAATCATTATTTTTTTCGTTAGTAACAAAGTTTGTATAATTTATATTACATATATTAAATACATTTGTCTATTTTTTCTCGTTGCAAATATTATGTTACACATTGCTTTCCATGGAGTTTAACAGTTTCAATTCCTTCAAGTCATAATCTAAGTTTTCCCATATTATGCCTTTTCAACTCAATTGAAGGAGAAATAAAATTAAAAACAAATTTATCAGTTTCTCAGCATCCCTTACCGAAAAAAGCGTTATTTTTTTAGGTTAAGTCATTGCAAGAGACATAACATCAGATTCTACAGGTGGTCTATTCATGATCTTAGAATTTCCGATGAGTTCAACACTATTACAATATAAAGAGCGTCTCATTTCTGCAGTGATATAAAAAACACTACAGCTGCAGCCCGGCTGAAGAAGGTGCTCTCCAAAGACTCTCAACCACTAGGTCTGCTGAAAAAGGAGAATGGTGCTTATACCACCATTTCAGCTGTGTGACTGTGAGATCTTAGAAAACCACACCTGGAATAACCATAAGACTCTCACTCCTATACGGAATACGGAGGTTGATTGGCAGGTGGCCCAGGAAGTGCTTAGTAAGTTAAAAGTCAAAGGAGCAATCAATAAATTCTCTCCATATAAACCAGTAGGGCTGGACGGGATATATCCGGCGCGCCTACAGTGGGGTCTGGATATTATCCTACCTTATTTTCAGAGCGTGTTTTGCTCTGGCATACACACCTGACAAATGGAGAGAGGTAAAAGTAATCTTTATACCCAAGCCAGACAAAACTGATTGTTAAGGCCAATTCATACCGCCCAATCAGTCTCACATCCTTTTCAGTAAAGGCTCTTGAGAAACTGTGTGAACGAAACTTAAGGGAAGGACCCCTTGCACGCAACTTCCTTCACCGAAACCAACATGCATATATACCAGGGAAATCCAAGGAGACTACTCTCCACGCAGTCCTGTGCAGGTTTGACAGTCTCTGGATTAGAAAATGTGCACCCTGGCAGACCGTTTGACAGACGAACATTCGATAATATCAAACAAGGCCTTGCTAGACATGGGGCTCCACCTACCATCGCCACAGGGATAGACAGGATGCTAAGCTGGCGAGTCGTGAAAGTTGATACAGGGGACACCACTATCAATGCTTAAGAGAGGCTGCCAACAAGGTGGTGTGTTATCACTGATCCTCTGGGACCTTGTGGTAGACAGCCTCCTACATAGCTTAAATGATGCGGGATTCCCTTCTAGGTGACTTGTGCATTCTGCTTACAGGCAAGAGCGTTCTATGCGATCTCATGCGAACGGCTCTTAACCAAATTTCATCTTGGTGTGAGGAGCACTCCCTGACGGTGAATCCACTGAAAACGGAGTTGATCTTCTTCACCAGAAAAAGAAAGCTAAGTGGTATGCAAATACCCATGCTAAATGATACCAGTCTACAGCTGACCCCAGAGGTCAAGTACCTGAGAGTTGTGCTTGATCAAAAGCTCAGCTGGAAAAGACACATTGAGGTAAAAACGGAATCAGCAAACATGGCCATGTGGCAGTGCCGCAGGGCGATGAGCAGGTCATGGGGCCTTACACCGAAAATCGCCCTGTGCGGATATACACCGCTATCATAAGACCAATGGTTTGCTATGCAGCTCTTGTCTGGTGGCCCAGAACCAGACAAGTAATAACGAGTGCCCTACTCGATAGAACGCAACGACTTGCGTATATCGGGATCACAGGCGCTATGAGAACCACCCCAACAAGGGCAATGGAGGCGGTCTTGGATCTGCCACCTCTGCACTTGTATGTAGAAAAGATGGCCCTTTTGACCGCCTGCAGATTAAACCCCTTGGGCTTGTGGCAGCACGGAAGCTTGGTGGGGGGACACTGCCGCGTACTAGCGGAAGGGTGCAGAAATGCACCCCTACTGGATGCGGCGGTGGATCGCACGATGCCCACACAGATAACAAAAAGATCCTACACTGTCTATAAGTTGGGTGAGGCGCAGGCTACCCCAACGGTCTCAATATACACGGACGGATCGAAAAGCAGTAGAGGAACAGGAGCGGGTGTTTTCTCACCTGAACTGAATCTCCTCATAAGGACCTACCCTTGGTGACCACACCACCGTCTTCCAGGCGGAATTGATGGCGGTCATCCAGGGAGCCAAGATAGCCGACGGCGAACCAGTGCGATTTCTAACGGATAGTAAATCCGTGCTGTCGGCCCTTGACAGTGCTAGAACAAACTCAAAGCTGATTATGCAGTGTATAGAGGCAGAACTCCCTCAAAAGAACACCGTTGAACTCTGCTGGGTCAAAAAGCACGATAACAACGCAGGCAATGAAGAGGCTGATAGTCTTGTCAGAGCAGCTTCAGGAAAGGCTCCGATGGGACCTCAACTCATGATCCCTCTGTCAACTAACACCGTTATTGCCGAGGTTAAACGAATCACTCGTTCAGAGCTCGCCATAATGTGGCGCAGTTTAGATACTTGTAAGCAGGGCAGATCAATGATCGATCTCCTTAGCAGGAAAAGAGTCGAGGATAGTGTACAGTTGATTGAGGGAAAACCTCCGCCTATTGGAAGGAATTTACTCAGGACACTGTAGAATAAATAAACACCTTGTGTGTTGCTGAGACCCCAATGTGTAAATGGTGCGACGCTGCAGATGAAACTGTTAAGCATGTGCTTTGTCACTGCCTAACCTTTTGTCAACAACGGCAAGCCATACTGGGGAACATCTGGCCTGATATGGCTAGGTTGAGGCGCACCTCACCTGAAACTCCCCTGCAATTTATCCAACGGGTGCGGCCCTAAGGCGAGACCTAGTGTCAGTGAGGTAACTCACCCTCCTTTGCAACTATCCAGATCCAGAAAGGGTGTCTCAACAAGAACTTGAATTTTAAATCGCGCGCCATTTCTGTCTGTCAAACGTCAATTCGGCCATATTGGGCACGTGTTCGGTGAAAACATTGACATTTACTACCGGACACGTGCCCAATATGGTCGACTTGAGGCTTGACAGACAGAAATGATGCGCAATTTCAAATTCAAGTTCTTGTTCAGACATCCCCTTTACAATGTTACCAAATTTCAATAAAGCTCTTCGTATTGAACAACATTACATACCTATACATTGTAACTAATTTAAATCAAAATACCCTTTAGCAAGTATACATTGTGTTATTATCGATGTCCCTTTGAAGTCTATGGGAGTTCAGATTTGATGACGCTTAAGTAATTGATATTGTTGACTAGAGTCATCACTATTTTGGACTTGACACGTCACTTCTGTAGATACAGAGAAGCTGTTTCATGTTTTTGATTCTAATATCATCTTACTTTGTCCGACAAGATACAATATAATGTCTTCTCGTAGGAAAATTTTTTGACTGAGAGACGTACATTTCATCAACCCTGAAAACGTATGTTTTGTCGAGTATGGAGTTACATTTTGAAAGATGTACTATTGCTGCTAGGGACTCTTCTGTTTGAACGCCACCCCACCCCTACCTTTGTCTTTACCGATTCGATGTTAGTGGTTACATAAAAACCAATTCATTGCA